GCTTTTCACACTTTACATGCTACCCTTGGGAGATATCATCATGAAACATGGTGTTAGCTTTCACTGTTATGCTGATGATACTCAGCTCTATATTTCTTTGCGGCTTGATGAAACATACAAATTTGCAAAACTAATGTAATGCATAGTTGATATAAAAAACTGGATGACTAGTAATTTCCTACTGCTAAATTGTGAAGGTTTTAATTATTGGACCAAAAACCTCCACATGTAATAACCTAAAACACTGTCTAACACTTGGCTGCTCTGTTAATTCCTCGTCATCAGTTAGGAACCTAGGTGTGCTATTTGATAGCAATATGTCCTTTGAAAACCATGTTTCTAGCATTTGTGAAACTGCATTTTTCCATCTTAAAAATATATCTAAATTATGACCTATACTCTCAATGTCAAATGCAGAAATGTTAATTCATGCGTTCATGACCTCAAGGTTAGATTATTGTAATGCTTAATGATTATTGAGGAGAACTGGTCCCCCGACTGGGCCTGGTTTCTCCCAAGGTTTTTTCTCCATTTTTGTCACCGATGGAGTTTTGGTTCCTTGCCACTGTCGCCTTTGGCTTACTTAGTTGGGGATGCTTGACTGATTGCACAGACACTATTGGAAGAGAGCTGAACTGGATGATAACATCACTGAACCATCAATGAACTGACTTTAGCTGAAAAATTACTCTGTTATTGTCTTATTGCATCATTGACAAACTATTTTCCTGTTTGACTTTGTAAAGCTGCTTTGACACAACCAGTATTGCATAAAGCACTATACAAATAAAGGTGACTTGACAGAGTTTACATACAGAGAATGTATGTAAAACTGATAACTTAAAGATCAGATGTTTGTACACAGCAGATACTTTCCAGATTAAGCAATCTTTAACATATATCTTGCAGACGTACATGTGCTATCTGGGATACTGTTTACTTTTTTTTTTGTTTTGTTAAAGTATGTGAAACAGTACAGATTATACAAGACACTGGTATGCCACAAGGATCACATTATCTTATTACACTGCATGTTTGTTCAATCACACAATGAGTCAAATTGGATATTGCTTCCAGTTCATTAGTCACGTAAAAAATTCTCGAGGAAGTTATTCTTCTAGCTTCAGCACACATACCTAAATGGAAACATCAGTGCTGTAAAAAAGGTACATATAAATGCGCCAGAGAGTGAATGGCCCTATGGGACTCATTGACGTCGGGTAAACAGGTAGTGTGCATCTGTTTGTCATGGGTCTCCTCTCAGCATCCACTCTGCTCCGCAATGAGTCACTGGAGAGCTTGCGGAGATATAAGGGACAGATGGAGCCTCGCTGATGGAAAGGGACAGTGACGTCATAGCCTAGGAGGGAAGCTGGAGATATAAACAAGATCCTGCCTGTCCCACCCTCTCTCTCATCTGATTGTTAATTTAGCATACTGCTGATAAAAATACATGGGGTCACTTTAAAGACAATGCATTCGATGTTGTCTGCCCCCCCCCCCTCCCTTTTTTTCCAGACGTTGTCTATCCTGTCTTATTGAAAGCAAAGGTATCCATATCTGGGATGATCTGTGGCATGATATAAGTGCAAGATTTCATGATGTCAAGACTTGTCAGACCAAAGTAGTTTTGCAATCTATAAATTTGCCAAAGCATGTGTTTTAGGAGCGGCCTTTCATGTGCAGGTTAACGAAGATGGAATGATTTGTCACATGAAAATTTGCTTTGTCAAAGCACAGCTGACATCATGCTGTGAGGCACCAGATGGCCGTATAACTGTGGTGTCTTGGCTACCATAGGAGCAAAATATTACTTTAGAAAAACTGAATTCAGAATTACGCTCATCATGTTCGAAGAAGCAAGCATTTTCAGCAGAGAGAAGGGTGATTTCTTTTGTGTTCTCTTGGCATTAAAGGTCCTTTTCCTAACATACAACATAGATTGCAACAGGCATATGCAACTGTCGGATATAGATCAAACTGTAAAACTATTGATTAAGTGTTTATATGGTCCATACACAAGCTGAGGTGCATGTAGATCAGCAGCGGGGAACTCTGGCCCTCAAAGTCCTGCACAGTTTAAATTAAAATCTTTAGGATTACCTGAAAATGACTTGGAAATTGACTGACAATACAGGTTGCGGTCTTGACTCTTTAGTGTCTTTGTTAGTGTGCCCGCCTCCCATGCAAGTTGACATTGGTTTAAATGCCACTTGGGGCAGTGCGAGTAGGACCAGACATAATGATGCCGGATGGGAGTAAGTGTAATGAGGGCTAGCTAGTAAGAGCTAAACCTCAAACCACACACTAACAACTTAACAAACGTTAGAGGCTGCTGTCTTTAGCACCTTTGTTAGCACACCCACTTTTAATGCCAGTTGACACCGGTTCAAATCATAAAGTTAAAAAGAACAGTGTTTATTTAAAATAGAATTTTTTTCTAACAATATAAGTCTTTATTATCACTTTTTTTCAGTTTAACACCTCCTTGCTGAATAAACACATTAATTTCTTTCAAATAAAGAAACGAAAAAAGAAAAAATACTGACCGCAAACTTTTGAACGGTAGTGTATATTGTTGAATTTTGAATAACTGCTGTTCTTTTGAACATTTTATTCATCAAAGAATCCTGAAAAAAAGTGTCACAGGCTCCAAAAAAATATGAAGCAGCAAAATCTATCTAGGCACACACTTGTTGCATTTTCAGCTTTATTCCATGCCCACATCCTGTCTCTCCCTAGAACCAGCAGTGCTCCATTTTCTATATCACTAATGCATTCCTCGCATTTGATCCATTTCCATTTCCATCCTGTCCATGTCTGATCACCTGTTCTTTGAGTCATTAGTATCTTGGGATCCTTTACTCTGCATTCCTCGCAGACAACACACAGAGCTCCTTTTATGGCTCCTGGATGCTGACTGTACTGATTACTCTTAATTTTAGGTTCTTCTAATCTTTGGTTTCCTTCAGATCTTTCTTGCACTTAGGTTTATCTTTAGCTGGACCATCCCACCATATATATTCTCCAAAACTTCCACAAATTGCAGTTTCCTCCACCAAATAGCCTGTTACATTTCAAGCAAACAGGATTTCCTATTTTGCCATTTTGCCTGTCCTTTTCATGCTGGATATCAGTAACTGTAAAGTTTGTTCTGCTTTTCGTTACTAATCGTGTCTCTATTCTAATGATTCCTCTCTGACTATTTATTTCAATCATTCTTCTAAGCTTCACTTCCTCTTTTTTGTGTACATCCTGTTTTCGTCATCTTTGACCAAAGATCTTCTAAACCAGATGACATTTTCTGTTGGTCTACTATTTGTGTTATTATGTCTTTCTGTTATTAGGTTCTTAAAGGGCTTGTTTTTGTTCTTGTACAATTCTCTAATTGTATCCAAATGGTATCTCCTACCTTACACAAATCTTCTAGTTCTATTTTTCTGTCCTTCTTTCTTTCTTCTTCTGGAATCATTTGTTCCCATTTTCATTGGGGATATAGCTATTTTAACTATACTACTATACTAATTTTATATATATATATTTTTTTATAATTACCTTTTGACCCCACTTTTTCTCGAATTGTCTGCCCCTTCCTCTGCTGCTAGGGTTTTGGTCCTTTACTCCTTTAATGCTATAAGTTCAGACCAGCTCTCTTCTTCAGATAGTTCTTTGCTACAGTTCATTACAGTTTGTGCTATACTATTCCATTCTGGAGAACCTCTAGAAAGTCTTACTGTTCCCTCTTGTTGAGTACCTAATCTGAACCTCACGTCATCTCCTTAAGGGTCTTTTTCCATAAACATCTCAAAACTGCTCCAGATGTTCCTGATCCTTTAATCATCTGAGGATTTCCATTCACTACCACCATACCTCTTGAGGTATTCTCTATCCAACCTTCATAAATTCGGATCATTACCCGCTCTAATTGTATTTCTGTAAGTGTAGACCTAGGTGGGTGTGGGTCTGCTATTATGAAAACATAATAAGTCTGTCATTGCCTCTTTGTATATCCTAAACTTTTCCATATTTGGAGTTTCACCCTGAGACTTCTTCAGGTTTTTCCCGATTCATAGTCTACAGTTTTATTTTGCCCATGTTCTTTTTGATGCACTGTGCTCTTAATTCCCTCTGAGGGTTTACACTGAATAACTACTTCCTATTTCTAGGGCTCATTATGACTGCTATAGGCCAACTTCTGACTCTTGAAAGTCTCCTCTTTGCAGCCCATCCCTACTTAGTAACCATAAAAGTATCTGACCTGGCTCTGTTTCTGTGGTTTATACCCTTAAGGCTCTTCTCTCCCAGGCTTTTACCCGGTGATTTTCTCTGGGATATAGAGTTGATAAACCAGAACCTACTTCATGTTTTTTAAGTCTATAGCCCCTCTAGACCTTTCTCTAGGTCTCACATGTAGCGACCCCGATTCTTGGGCCTTCATTCCTTTCTCTGCACTGGAATATATAACGTTTAGTGTATAACCTCTTGTTAACCTTTGTGGTTTATTACAAAACATCAAACTCATGAGCCAAACTTTCACAATTGCTGCTTATTCATCCTAACAAAGCAAATATTGCAAGTGCAAGCATTTCCATATCAAAACATATATGGCATTAACCTAAAAACAAGCAAATAATATAACATTGAAGCAGGTAAATAGCAATATCATTATCTATTTCCAAAACAATTATATATATAACTTAACTGATGATACGGCTGGGGGAGATCCTTAAATGCAAAATGCAAAATTCAATAAATGGAAAAATTAAGTAGATTATTTGAATTTGATTTATTATTCATACATGCACATTATAGGCTATATTATTACCACATGATAGCTTAAACATAAGGTTGCCTTTTACATCTTTTCAGCATTGTTACAAAAATCTATACAACAATAAATTGTAAAACACATTAATGATACAATACTTGTAAATTACAGCGTATTGTTACAAATTGTAGTAATCTAAAATAGCGGATGACACCGTCTTGCACTCCATCACCTTTAGGCACACAACACACAAACACACACACGATTAGTAAACTGCGAGCAGTAATAAATTATTGGCCACATCTGTTCCTTAAGAAATAAAAAAAAAGCAAACAATGAAAGCATCAAGAAATTTGCTCACTGCTTAATTGGAGTATGAATATTCATCACAACACTGTCCACAAGTGAACAAAGTGACAAATTTTGGATAATGGAGAGTTGTGATATTGAAGGAGAAATGTACTTTGATACTATAGCGATGATCTGATTGTCCATACTGTACTCAGGGCATCTCACGTGAAGCAAGCCAGAGATACCACAACAAATTTGTTTGTGTAACCATACTGTGGCAGTGATTTGTAACATAAAATTAATAATACAAGTGCTAATACCACTGTTGACCATCATTTTCGTGTACCACAAAAGATAGATAAGTATTTCTCTATATTCTCTGGACAGCTACCAAAAATATATAATCAAAATCCCAGAACGCCTTTTTTTCAATAAGTATTTTCTTGGTGACTCTTAAAGAAATGCTAGCATGTTGAATTTACATTACAATAATGAGACAAACTGTATTCTAACAGTTCCTGTGCTTACCTCACCAAACTCTCTTTTGTCATCTGTCTATTTTTGCACCTGCCCTGTGTCCTTCACCTTGCATCGCACAAATTCTGTTTCCTTCCTTCTCTGTCTGTCATGATCTCCTCGGTAGCCCCATCTGAGGTCCTTCTGACCGCATGAGGAGTGTGTAGTATGTGCAGGAATGGAAAATAGCAGCATTATGGTCGCAGATCTCTCCTCCCAAGCCTCAATCGGACCACTCGTTCTCCTCCGGCTCAGAGTCCTCATCTGATTCACTGTATTCCACAGCGATGCGTCGGGACAGGATTGTGGCCACGTCGTTACCCACTGGCTCTTTCTTGGCTTCCTGCTCTCTCTGCTCTTGCACCTTACGAAGCTGGATACCTGGAGGAGGAGCCAATAGTTCAATATTTTTAGTGTTTTTAAAGAAGCCTTTTCTGCTCCTCAAGGCTGCATTTAATATACTTTAAAATATCATTTATTTCTGTGATCAAAGTTGAATTTTCAGCATTATTACTGCAGTTTTCAGTGTCACATGATCCTTCAGATTTATTATCAATGCTGGAAACAGTTGTGCTGCTTAATATTTTTTTGGAATCTGTAATATTTTTTACAGGATTCTTTGATGAATAAAACATTAAAAAGAACTGCATTTATTTACAATATATTTTTTAACAATATACACTACCGTTCAAAAGTTTGGGGTCAGTCATTTTTTTCTTCCTTTTTAAAAAAAAAGAAATTAATACTTCTATTTAGCAAGGATGTATTAAATTGATTAAAAGTGATAGTCAAGACTTAAATTTCGAATAAGTGCTGTTCTTTTGAACTTTTAATCATCAAAGAATCCTGAAAAACGTTCCAAAAAATATTAAGCAGCACAACTGTTTCCAACACTGATAATAAATCAGCATATTAGAATGATTTTTTGAAGGATCATGTGATCCTATGAGTTGTGCTACTTCACATTTCTGTGGAAACTGTGACATTTTTTCAGGATTCCTTGATGATTTGTAGCAATAAAATGTCTTTACTGTCACTTTTGATCAATTTAATGCATCCTTGCTAAATAAAAGCATTAATTTATTTTTTTTAATTCATTAAAAAAGTACTTATCCAAAATTTTTGAATGGTATAGCGTATCAGTTTCCACAAAAATATGAAGCAGCAAAAATATAATAGTAAATGTTTTATGAGCAGCAAATCAGCATATTAGACTGATTTCTGAAGATCATGTGACACTGAAGACTGGAGTAATGATGCTGAAAATACAGCTTTGATCATAGCAATAAATTACATTTTACAATATATTTAAATAGCAAACAGCTATTTTAAATTGTAATAATATATTTCCCATTATTTCAGTTTTTACTGTATTTTTGATCAAATAAACACAACCTTGGTGAATAGAAAATACTCTTTTAAAAAAAACCTTTATGATTTCAAACTTTTGACCGGGAGTGTCTATATATATATATATATATATATATATATATATATATATATATAATTGTTTTTTTTTTGGGATACATGTGTAAAGGGCCTATTTTAAGGCCATTTTTTGAATCTTCAGTTGTCTAATTAATAAAAAAAAGCACATGGAACACGCAACATGCTTCATTCAACACAATATGCTGAACACTGAATTCTTTTCTCTGCACACTGACCTCTGCGGATGGCAGCCAGCAGGTCGCTCCGGGCATCGCTCATGGGGATGAGAGACACCTGGCCCTTCCTGGGAAGAGTAGACTCTCCAGACAGGTGTGTTATTCGGGATGGGGATGGGGTGTGTGTGGGGGGTCCTGGAGGGGGAGGAGGCGGGGCCACTGGTGGGCCCCCCATTACAGCATGTGAAGGCGAAGCGGCGTAGGCTGAGAGAGGAGCTGCAGGAGGAGACGGGCTGTAGGGCCGTGAGAGGGAGACCACTGTCCCCGGAGCCAGTGACTGAGGTCCAGACGTGCTGTCAAAGGCGGTCTGGGAGGAAGGAATGAGGGGAGGAGGTGGAGGAGGGGCAGGCGGGATGAAATGTTCCAGGATTTGATGGCCGCTAAGAAGTGATTACAAAGAAGAAATGTTTAAGGAACGATTTTGCACTGAAAAAGTATTCGTCAAAAATTAAAAAAAAAAGTACTTGTATGTACTTTTTCATATTATAACATAAAATTAAGCAATATCACAAGAGCAAGAGAGCTGTTTTCACAAATATGAGCACGACTGCAAAATATGATATTGATTTTGTGCAAACGTTCAATAAACAAGAAGTTAATATTAAGTAAATTACATTTTAGAAACAATTGTAATTTTTTTGTTTGTTTATTTTTTACTATTTCGGCAGCAAAAATAGTTCCAGACAAATCCATAGCAGAACTGTTGTGTGTTTCCGAGCAACAGGTGATTCGTTACTGAATGAATCAGCTGCTTTGAAGGATATGCTTGAATAAATGATTCTGTGACTCACTCATTAAGTGATTTGCCACCACCTAGCCTACTGGCGGTTTTAGTTTATATTCATATTTATTTTTATTCATATTTCTATATTCAAAACTTTCTTTTTAAAACATTAATCTCAATAATATTTATACAGCTGTAATTGTACCAATTCAGATGCAGTTTCTGTGCCACCTCTGCAGGGCAAAGATTAATTTTGTTAAATTTTATTTGATTGGTAACCACTTTATATCATGTCTTATTATTCTAATTGTATTTATTGATTAAATTTCAGATATTTTTCAGACAGTAAATGTGGATCTTTCAGATAAATTTCAGGAGTGCTGGTTTGGCCTTGGTCTCTTGACTCTTGGTCTCAAAACACTCTGGTCTCGGTTTAGGTGGTCTTGACTACAACACTATATGGCACTATCCTGACTAAGGTTTACACTACTTATCTGACAGTATTAAGACAGAAAAGAAGGCAGTTTTCAAAAAGCAGATTATGCAACATACCTGGTTAATTTAGAGATAAATAAACAGATAACCTCAGCTTCCAAAAGATTCCAAAAACTGAGGTAACCGAGGTATTTAAGTTGCTCTGTATATATCATATATATATATATATATATATATTATAAAGCACTATTATAACATGAAGCAATGTTATTTATTTTATTGCTATCTCACACATCTGCATTCAAAAGATAGTTTTTTGCAACTTTTCCCCTCTTTTTCAATACAATGCATTTCTATAATAAAAATACGGTAACACTTTAGTATAGGGACCAATTCTCACTAAATAACTAGTTGCTTATTAGCATGCCTATTATTCACATTTTGGCTGTTTATTAGTACTTATAAAGCACATATTCTGCATGACCATATTCTACATCCCTAATCCCCTTGTAAGGTTTGGGTTAATAAACTGAGGGACTTCACAATGTTACTTGAGATACACTACTGAAAGGAATAGTTCACCCAAAAATAAAACTTTGCTGAAAATGTACACACTCTCAGGCCATCCAAGATGTAGATGAGTTTGTTTCTTCATGGGAACAGATTTAGAGAAATGTAGCATTGCATCACTGTCTCAGCAATGGATGCTCTGCAGTGAATGGGTGCCGTCAGAATGAGAGTCCAAACAGCTGATAAAAACGTCACAATAATCCACAAGTAATCCACAGCACTCCAGTCCAACAGTTAATGTCTTGTGAAGCGAAAAACTGTGTTTGTAAGAAACACATCCACCATTAAGATGTTTTTAACTTCAAACTGTTGCTTCTAGCTAAAATATGAGTCCATAATCCATAACATTTCCACCAGTGAAAAAAAACCATCCCTTGTTGTCCTCTCACATCAAAATTTACCAACATAGTTGTTTTGAACTGTAGTAAACGGTGCTTGATCTGTGCATATTTCACTCCTGATTCAGAGCAGATGACTTTTTCACTGGAGAAAGCAATATTATCGACTTGAATTTTATACTGAAGCAATGCTTTAAAGTTAAAATGTCTAAATGAGGGATTTGTTTCTTACAAACACGCAGTTTTTCACTTCACAAGATGTTAACTGATGGACTGGAATGCTGTGGATTACTTGTGGATTATTGTGGTGTTTTTATCAGCTGTTTGGACTTTCATTCTGACGGCACCCATTCACTGCAGAGCATCCATTGCTGAGACACTGATGCAATGCTACATTTCTCCAAATCTGATGAAGAAACAAACTCATCTATGTCTTGGATGGCCTGCAGGGTGAAGACATTTTTAGCAAATTTAAATTTTTGGATGAACTATTCCTATATATAATTGTATATATACAGTATACATACATACAGTATACATATACTTAAACTTTAGAGAGGTAAGTGACATGCCTGTAATCTTTGGCAGCTGTTGGCCAGGGGCCGTTGAGGGACGAGTCTGCCTGTGGGGGTCCGTGGTGGGTCTGAACGCGTCCTAGAGAGTGCTGTCGGGCTGCAGCGGCGGTGGAGGAGGCTGGGGGCCGGTACACTCGGTCCAGGGACTGAGTCTGTGTGGGGCCAGCGTCTTTCCCATCAGCTCCTGCCCCAGCTGCTTCCAGTGGGTGGCTGGGACTCGCTGGGTACGAGTGTTCATCTGACATGCCAGATCTGGGTTAAAGCAAAGAACAATGTACAGACACACAGCATGCACAATATAGTTATAATGAGTTATACATTTGCGTATGATCAAATTCTTAAATTATTTACTTGAACTGAACATAAACGTACTTTGTTTTTTCTTTTAGAAGAAAACCATATAGTATAGGTCATTTTCATCCTATGCATTCATGTACATTTTGTAGTCATGCATTAAAATGAGTAATGTAGATCCGCACATGAGAAATAGGCCAACAAAGCTCATATGAATTTATTATCCAGAGGCCACAAATGAGTGCGCAAAACGTTTTCGGGATCAACCCTTTCATCAGTGCCGTGTTTCCAAGCCTCTGCTTTTGATCTTTGAGCTATTTATGGATTTACGCACCGCCAGAATTGTATGTATTTTGATGAGTTAGTGTCTTGTGTCTGGCACCAAGCTTCTCCAGTCTTTCCATTTAAAATGAGTAATGAACATAATTTCATTAAACCTGCTTATCTGTTTTACTGAACCTTGCCAGGTAAAATAATAATAGTTCATGATGACAAAAAGCTCATGTTCACAAAACAACAAAAACAAAATATAATGCTTTTTACTAGTTAAAAATCCTGCATTACTAAAACCATTTCCTAATATGTTTTAAGGTAAGTAATTTAAAACAGTGTTTTACAATACTTAACAAATGAATATGCATGTTCATCTTCAATCTCTCTCAAGCTCTCTCCAACTTGTTCACTAGTTACATGATGTTTTTCATCTCACTTTAATGACACAATTAATTTTAATGAAGGCATCTCTATTTATAGTGTTGTTTCAATATAAGGATTTAAAGCTGATTGTTGGTTATTTTTAAGGGTGTGTTAAATAGAACAACAGGCTATGAATCATAGACAGTCTATATTTTTTTCTTTATTTTTTTACTACTGTATATACCCATGAACTTACAAAATGAGCCGTTCTATGGCAATTTCTGTTGAATTTGAGTTAGGATTCACTATAACCGCTTTTTAAGCTTACTTAATTACTGACAAACAGATGGCAACTTTAATTCCTGTGTGAAAATGAAGTGATAATTGTGAAAAGAGTTAATTGTGCTCACTGAATGTGCACTTGTAGTGTCCTTTAAATCTTAAAAAGTATATTTTTAAAAATCTGTACTTGCAGCTAAAGAAAGTACACTTTCATGACTATGTTTCTTAAAACACTTAAAATAAAAAGTTAAATAAAAAGTTCTACCCGATTTAACCTATAAAAATGAATATTGTTGGTATAATATATTTAGGTTGAATCAGTGATGCTGAATAATAAATTAGTTAATTTAGATGTTACCATTTTGGGGTAACTATTTTTTTTCAGTGTACTAAAGGACATGTAAAGTACTTGATATTAATTTGAACTCTATTGCATTATTTGATATTATATTGAAGTTAATAGAGTATATTTTAAATGTAGTAAATTGCAACTTCATCATGACAAGTGTGTAAGAACTGTACAAATATATTTAATACTTGACATACAAATTTCAATGGAAATTACATTATAGTATATTTTAATTTACCACTTACAGACAATCAACACTTTAAATCGCTTTATTGAAACAACACTATACAGACATGTTAATAATGAAGCACTGCGTCAACCAATGCAGAGTCAAATAAAACAAGTGACAAGCAAATAAATAGCTTCGTAGCACAGTAAGTATGAGAGGTGTCAAAGCACAGCTCATTTACTTTAAGAGGTTTGACTGAACAGTATAGAGATCACATGACTCACCTATCTGGAGACAGAGATCCCTCAGAGGACATGTTATGGTAAGGAGACGGTGTTAGTCGCGTGTCCGGACGGAATTCCTTATCGTAGGCCATCATGTTCCACTCCTGACGCCGGTTACGAGCTTTACGCACTTTCTTTACCTCGCGAGCGGGATCCTCCGTGTGTTTTTGCTCTTGCTAAGGCAGAAAAAAAAGGAAATGTTTCTATAAGTTTGAGTAATAATATTGAACTACGCAGAAAGAACAGGAAAAGTCTGTAAATGAATACTGACCTGATGGTTACAAATTAAAAAAAAATCTTTTTGGAGCAAATTTTCACAAGCAAATTGTGCATTTTCAAAACGCTTAGTACTTATCGCACAACAGATCATCAAAAATCAATCATGTTTTCTGTATCATTCAGTATAGAATTACACACTCGCTAATGCCAACAGTTCTGTTGTATTTTGAATCAATTCTCTCTACATTATCTCTCATCAGGAATTTTGTTTTAGCAGCCAATTTTTAATTTCACTAATTTACCATGTTTTACCAGAACATGCAATGTTCCCAATGCCTTCACTAGGGAATATTCTGAGCTGCGATGTTAAATGCAGCACACAGTGAGAAAAATAATAAATCCATTTCATACTTTTAATAGCCCTCCAAATCTGATTGGTCGATGGCACAACATCTAGTGTAATATGATTGATATATAATGGAAGCCCATTTCCGCCACTGAATAAAAACATAAAAAAGGTAATTGCGACTTTTTATCTCGCAATTCTGATATACTGTATATATATTATATCTGAGATATAAAAAAGTCAGAACTGCAGGATTCAAACTCGCAATTCTGAGAAATAAAGACAGAATTGTGAAGAAAAAAATCAGAAAAAAGTCAGAATTGTGCGATATAAACTTGTGAGAAAAAAAGTCAGAACTATATATATATATATATATATATATATATATATATCTGAGTTATAAAGTCAAATTCTGAGGAAAATCAGAATTGCGAGATTTAAACTCAAAATTGCAAGAAAATTGTCAGAATCGTGAGAAATTAAGGCAGAATAACGAAAAAAATATACATATAAACCGAGTTATAAAGTCCAATTCTGAGGAAAACTCGCAATTCTGACTTTATTTTTTTTTAAATTGCGAGATCTAAACTGAATTTTTTTATTTCTCAGAACTGCAACTTCATGTATATCATACTTTATTTCTCAGAATTACGAATTTATACCACGCAATTTTTTTTTAGACTTTGTAACTCTCAACTGCGTGTTTACCCTCATGAAAAATAAATATACTAAAATGTATTTGAAATACGTTTATGTCATGCTAAGTATACTACAAATACATTTACATATTTATGTACTTAATAAAAATACCCTGCAATTGTATTTTTGTATAATAAACTAGTCTGCTAAACTGAAACAACACATTTTGTACTTAATGCACTTTAATTGTGAGGAAGTAGTGCTGAAGTTCAACTAAAGATATACTGAAGCATATTTGATTGTGCTAAGTTTAATTAGAATTTTTATATCAGTAAGTCTTGAGCAATATGTCATTAAATATGTTAATAGATTTGAACTATACTTAGTCAAATATGTGACCCTGGAGCACAAAAGCAGTGTTAAGTCGCTGGGGGATATTTGTAGCAATAGCTGAAAATTCATTGTATGGGTCACAATTATCCATTTTTCTTTTATGCCAAAAATCATTAGGATATTAAGTAAAGATCATGTTCCATGAAGATATTTTTTTAATTTCCTACTGTAACTATATCAAAACTTAATTTTTGATTAGTGATATGCATTGCTAAGAACTTTAAAGGCGATTTTCTCAATATTTAGATTTTTTTTGTACCCCCAGATTTTCAAATAGTTGTATCTCGGCCAAATATTGTCCTATCCTAACAAACCATACATCAATGGAAAGAATATTTATTCAGCTTTCAGATGATGTATAAATCTCAATTTCGAAAAATTTACCCTTATGACTGGTTTTGTGGTCCAGGGTCACATATATGCCTACGTTTGAATGGCCATCAGTGGAGAAAGATACTGTAATGTATTTTATTGTCTTTTGTTGTTTGCACTTTTAGTTTGAAGTTCTGTTTTCTACCTTGTCATTCTTGTTTCCGGTTTCCTCTTTTCTGCCAGCTTTTGTGTATTTAAACCTTCATGTTAGAGGATAGCTCTTGTCTTTGATAATGTGTCTGTGTTTTATTACGGTCACAGTAACGCAAGAATGCACTTGAAATGTATTTGATAAGCAGTCAGGACTGCATTTGTGTACATACATAAAGCATGTTTCTGACCATATACACACACATACACACCTTCTGCCGTCGTTTCTCCTTCCTCTTGTTTTCTGTGGCTTGCAGCATCTTTTCCTTCCAAAGGATAAAAAAGTAGGATGGATCGGTATAGAATTTGAGCCCGTCTTTTTTGTCATCCCTGTAAGACAACACAACACTGTGCTTAGAAATGAAGTCGTTTTGCTTAATATTATTAATATTTCCCGTCAGAATGAGAGTCCAAACAGCTGATAAAAACATCACAATAATCCACAAGTAATCCACAGCACTCCAGTCCAACAGTTAATGTCTTGTGAAGCGAAAAACTGTGTTTGTAAGAAACACATCCACCATTAAGATGTTTTTAACTTCAAACTGTTGCTTCTAGCTAAAATATGAGTCCATAATCCATAACATTTCCACCAGTGAAAAAAAACCATCCCTTGTTGTCCTCTCACATCAAAATTTACCAACATAGTTGTTTTGAACTGTAGTAAACGGTGCTTGATCTGTGCATATTTCACTCCTGATTCAGAGCAGATGACTTTTTCACTGGAGAAAGCAATATTATCGACTTGAATTTTATACTGAAGCAATGCTTTAAAGTTAAAATGTCTAAATGAGGGATTTGTTTCTTACAAACACGCAGTTTTTCACTTCACAAGATGTTAACTGATGGACTGGAATGCTGTGGATTACTTGTGGATTATTGTGGTGTTTTTATCAGCTGTTTGGACTTTCATTCTGACGGCACCCATTCACTGCAGAGCATCCATTGCTGAGACACTGATGCAATGCTACATTTCTCCAAATCTGATGAAGAAACAAACTCATCTATGTCTTGGATGGCCTGCAGGGTGAAGACATTTTTAGCAAATTTAAATTTTTGGATGAACTATTCCTATATATAATTGTATATATACAGTATACATACATACAGTATACATATACTTAAACTTTAGAGAGGTAAGTGACATGCCTGTAATCTTTGGCAGCTGTTGGCCAGGGGCCGTTGAGGGACGAGTCTGCCTGTGGGGGTCCGTGGTGGGTCTGAACGCGTCCTAGAGAGTGCTGTCGGGCTGCAGCGGCGGTGGAGGAGGCTGGGGGCCGGTACACTCGGTCCAGGGACTGAGTCTGTGTGGGGCCAGCGTCTTTCCCATCAGCTCCTGCCCCAGCTGCTTCCAGTGGGTGGCTGGGACTCGCTGGGTACGAGTGTTCATCTGACATGCCAGATCTGGGTTAAAGCAAAGAACAATGTACAGACACACAGCATGCACAATATAGTTATAATGAGTTATACATTTGCGTATGATCAAATTCTTAAATTATTTACTTGAACTGAACATAAACGTACTTTGTTTTTTCTTTTAGAAGAAAACCATATAGTATAGGTCATTTTCATCCTATGCATTCATGTACATTTTGTAGTCATGCATTAAAATGAGTAATGTAGATCCGCACATGAGAAATAGGCCAACAAAGCTCATATGAATTTATTATCCAGAGGCCACAAATGAGTGCGCAAAACGTTTTCGGGATCAACCCTTTCATCAGTGCCGTGTTTCCAAGCCTCTGCTTTTGATCTTTGAGCTATTTATGGATTTACGCACCGCCAGAATTGTATGTATTTTGATGAGTTAGTGTCTTGTGTCTGGCACCAAGCTTCTCCAGTCTTTCCATTTAAAATGAGTAATGAACATAATTTCATTAAACCTGCTTATCTGTTTTACTGAACCTTGCCAGGTAAAATAATAATAGTTCATGATGACAAAAAGCTCATGTTCACAAAACAACAAAAACAAAATATAATGCTTTTTACTAGTTAAAAATCCTGCATTACTAAAACCATTTCCTAATATGTTTTAAGGTAAGTAATTTAAAACAGTGTTTTACAATACTTAACAAATGAATATGCATGTTCATCTTCAATCTCTCTCAAGCTCTCTCCAACTTGTTCACTAGTTACATGATGTTTTTCATCTCACTTTAATGACACAATTAATTTTAATGAAGGCATCTCTATTTATAGTGTTGTTTCAATATAAGGATTTAAAGCTGATTGTTGGTTATTTTTAAGGGTGTGTTAAATAGAACAACAGGCTATGAATCATAGACAGTCTATATTTTTTTCTTTATTTTTTTACTACTGTATATACCCATGAACTTACAAAATGAGCCGTTCTATGGCAATTTCTGTTGAATTTGAGTTAGGATTCACTATAACCGCTTTTTAAGCTTACTTAATTACTGACAAACAGATGGCAACTTTAATTCCTGTGTGAAAATGAAGTGATAATTGTGAAAAGAGTTAATTGTGCTCACTGAATGTGCACTTGTAGTGTCCTTTAAATCTTAAAAAGTATATTTTTAAAAATCTGTACTTGCAGCTAAAGAAAGTACACTTTCATGACTATGTTTCTTAAAACACTTAAAATAAAAAGTTAAATAAAAAGTTCTACCCGATTTAACCTATAAAAATGAATATTGTTGGTATAATATATTTAGGTTGAATCAGTGATGCTGAATAATAAATTAGTTAATTTAGATGTTACCATTTTGGGGTAACTATTTTTTTTCAGTGTACTAAAGGACATGTAAAGTACTTGATATTAATTTGAACTCTATTGCATTATTTGATATTATATTGAAGTTAATAGAGTATATTTTAAATGTAGTAAATTGCAACTTCATCATGACAAGTGTGTAAGAACTGTACAAATATATTTAATACTTGACATACAAATTTCAATGGAAATTACATTATAGTATATTTTAATTTACCACTTACAGACAATCAACACTTTAAATCGCTTTATTGAAACAACACTATACAGACATGTTAATAATGAAGCACTGCGTCAACCAATGCAGAGTCAAATAAAACAAGTGACAAGCAAATAAATAGCTTCGTAGCACAGTAAGTATGAGAGGTGTCAAAGCACAGCTCATTTACTTTAAGAGGTTTGACTGAACAGTATAGAGATCACATGACTCACCTATCTGGAGACAGAGATCCCTCAGAGGACATGTTATGGTAAGGAGACGGTGTTAGTCGCGTGTCCGGACGGAATTCCTTATCGTAGGCCATCATGTTCCACTCCTGACGCCGGTTACGAGCTTTACGCACTTTCTTTACCTCGCGAGCGGGATCCTCCGTGTGTTTTTGCTCTTGCTAAGGCAGAAAAAAAAGGAAATGTTTCTATAAGTTTGAGTAATAATATTGAACTACGCAGAAAGAACAGGAAAAGTCTGTAAATGAATACTGACCTGATGGTTACAAATTAAAAAAAAATCTTTTTGGAGCAAATTTTCACAAGCAAATTGTACATTTTCAAAACGCTTAGTACTTATCGCACAACAGATCATCAAAAATCAATCATGTTTTCTGTATCATTCAGTATAGAATTACACACTCGCTAATGCCAACAGTTCTGTTGTATTTTGAATCAATTCTCTCTACATTATCTCTCATCAGGAATTTTGTTTTAGCAGCCAATTTTTAATTTCACTAATTTACCATGTTTTACCAGAACATGCAATGTTCCCAATGCCTTCACTAGGGAATATTCTGAGCTGCGATGTTAAATGCAGCACACAGTGAGAAAAATAATAAATCCATTTCATACTTTTAATAGCCCTCCAAATCTGATTGGTCGATGGCACAACATCTAGTGTAATATGATTGATATATAATGGAAGCCCATTTCCGCCACTGAATAAAAACATAAAAAAGGTAATTGCGACTTTTTATCTCGCAATTCTGATATACTGTATATATATTATATCTGAGATATAAAAAAGTCAGAACTGCAGGATTCAAACTCGCAATTCTGAGAAATAAAGACAGAATTGTGAAGAAAAAAATCAGAAAAAAGTCAGAATTGTGCGATATAAACTTGTGAGAAAAAAAGTCAGAACTATATATATATATATATATATATATATATATATATCTGAGTTATAAAGTCAAATTCTGAGGAAAATCAGAATTGCGAGATTTAAACTCAAAATTGCAAGAAAATTGTCAGAATCGTGAGAAATTAAGGCAGAATCACGAAAAAAATATACATATAAACCGAGTTATAAAGTCCAATTCTGAGGAAAACTCGCAATTCTGACTTTATTTTTTTTTAAATTGCGAGATCTAAACTGAATTTTTTTATTTCTCAGAACTGCAACTTCATGTATATCATACTTTATTTCTCAGAATTACGAATTTATACCACGCAATTTTTTTTTAGACTTTGTAACTCTCAACTGCGTGTTTACCCTCATGAAAAATAAATATACTAAAATGTATTTGAAATACGTTTATGTCATGCTAAGTATACTACAAATACATTTACATATTTATGTACTTAATAAAAATACCCTGCAATTGTATTTTTGTATAATAAACTAGTCTGCTAAACTGAAACAACACATTTTGTACTTAATGCACTTTAATTGTGAGGAAGTAGTGCTGAAGTTCAACTAAAGATATACTGAAGCATATTTGATTGTGCTAAGTTTAATTAGAATTTTTATATCAGTAAGTCTTGAGCAATATGTCATTAAATATGTTAATAGATTTGAACTATACTTAGTCAAATATGTGACCCTGGAGCACAAAAGCAGTGTTAAGTCGCTGGGGGATATTTGTAGCAATAGCCAACAATACATTGTATGGGTCACAATTATACATTTCTCTTTTATGCCAAACATCATTAGGATATTAAGTAAAGATCATGTTCCATGAAGATATTTTTTTAATTTCCTACTGTAACTATATCAAAACTTAATTTTTGATTAGTGATATGCATTGCTAAGAACTTTAAAGGCGATTTTCTCAATATTTAGATTTTTTTTGTACCCCCAGATTTTCAAATAGTTGTATCTCGGCCAAATATTGTCCTATCCTAACAAACCATACATCAATGGAAATAATATTTATTCAGCTTTCAGATGATGTATAAATCTCAATTTCGAAAAATTTACCCTTATGACTGGTTTTGTGGTCCAGGGTCACATATATGCCTACGTTTGAATGGCCATCAGTGGAGAAAGATACTGTAATGTATTTTATTGTCTTTTGTTGTTTGCACTTTTAGTTTGAAGTTCTGTTTTCTACCTTGTCATTCTTGTTTCCGGTTTCCTCTTTTCTGCCAGCTTTTGTGTATTTAAACCTTCATGTTAGAGGACAGCTCTTGTCTTTGATAATGTGTCTGTGTTTTATTACGGTCACAGTAACGCAAGAATGCACTTGAAATGTATTTGATAAGCAGTCGGGACTGCATTTGTGTACGTACATAAAGCATGTTTCTGACCATATACACACACATACACACCTTCTGCCGTCGTTTCTCCTTCCTCTTGTTTTCTGTGGCTTGCAGCATCTTTTCCTTCCAAAGGATAAAAAAGTAGGATGGATCGGTATAGAATTTGAGCCCGTCTTTTTTGTCATCCCTGTAAGACAACACAACACTGTGCTTAGAAATGAAGTCGTTTTGCTTAATATTATTAATATTTCATATTGCTTACATTTCATCCCCAAAGTTAAAATAAAAATACTTTATTCGAAAAAATTATTATTATTAATTATTATAATTTTGCATAAAGAAAATTAAGCCTATTTTAAGAGACATTTCTTGGATATGATAATAATGACAACTAAAAAGTGAACCTTAACCTAAATGTTTTCTGTACACCAAAATGCCACAGATAAAATTGAAAAATAATGATGCAAAGGAAGCATTTTGATTAGTAGTAGCCATCGTAATGAGTTTGGTTAGTAACTGTATTAATTGTTTGGGCACGTTTTATTCAAGACCAGAGCTGTAATTTGTGCATGAGATGTGAGAAACTTAATTTAATCATGTTTTTTTTCTGTGAGAGTGGTGGCTGGAACATGAGGAGGGGCATAGCGAAAGTAGCTACTGTATTTCTTCCATCTACATGTAAAAATACTGTAATCCTGACAGTACCTCCTAGTTCTGTCAGGACCACTATCGTCAAAGATGATTGACAATTAGCATACAGTTTGGATTGGCGGTATGGTTCTGTTCTGGGCAAGAACTCCCTGCGCATCCATGCAGCCTAGCATGGATGAGAGCGGCGAGAGCAGCGATAACCCCCCCAGGGTAAACAGAACAGAACCAACATAAATGTATTGCAGATATCGTTAAAGTTCAATAATGTTATGTACACATTTTAGAATTAGTCTGATTCAAAGAAGAATCAAAAGGCTGAATCCCGACTGACAGAGGAGGAGTTGGGGATGGAGGAGGGTAATTAGCTATTGAGCAATGTGAAAACTGCTGATAATACTGCGGGACCTTATATATGAATGCTTAGATAGGTGTCGTATTCCCATAGGTAGATAGTCAGCCGATGCGAGCTTGACTAACGTGACCTGGCAGAACTAACGCTACGCTAGATTTTTAGAAAATATTTTAGTAATCTGATAACATCTTTTTCAACCATACCTGTAACTGTAACACAGTTAATCTTTTTGTGTTCTGAATTTGTAATGACCTTGCATGTCATTTCTTCTAATTAAGGTTAAATGAAATTTAACATTCTCAAAAGAATATTAGGGTCTAAATTTAAGATGTATGTATTTGAATTGCAAAATTTACATCCATTTGGATTTCACAGTTTTAACAAACTAATAAACTTGGGATAGTTCACCCAGAAATTACATTTTGCTGTTAATTAGCACACACTCAGGCCGTCAAAGATGTAGGCGACTTTTTCTTCAGTAGAACAGTAAAGAAAATTTTGAGCTGAAACCGTAGTTTTTAAGAATAAAAAAAGCATATCAGGGAACATCAAATTAATACCTGTGGCTCCTGACGATATATTGAGGTCTTATGGAGTGAAACGATCAGTCTGTGCAAGAAACTGAACGTTATTTGCAACGTATTACCTGGTTATTTTGGACAGTCATTTCTGGTTCAAATAACTGATTCACTAGTTTACATAATCAAGCTATGACGTCATGTATACACATGTATTACACATTAAAGCACCCAATAATGACGTGAAACCTGGATGTTTTACATGTCTAAAGCATATAAAGTGAATAAACTAGTCTTCATCAGCTCACCTTTTTACATAAGCCATGAGAAACCATAAAAATGTTAATTTCACCCCTTCATCCATGTGTTTGTTCACACGTGCTCATATCAGCGGCTCATAGGTTTTCAGTCCGAGTCGAACTGTTTCCTCAGTTCAGTGACTGTTGGAGGAACTGGAGCACTGAATGATTCATTCATCAGAGGATCAGATACACAGGTATATCGGCTCATTAGTGACTGTCAGGTGTCTGAAAGTGAGTTTTGATTGAGTAACTCGAGCCACGAACTGTTTCAGACGCTTCAGTCCGATTCGGTGAACTGGTTCATCTGGTTCACTGAAAATAACCGGTTCAAAAGAATGATTCTTTCGCAAACCGGACCGTTTGTCTGAGGCTTTGGATTACAGGTAATAATGTTGTTAATAATGTTCAGTTTCTTGCACAGACCGATCGTTTCACTTCATAAGACCTCAATATATATTGTAAGGAGTCACAGGTGTTCATTTTGTGTTCCTTGATAAGCCTTGCATTTTATGAATCACCAAGGATCACGGTTTCAGCTCAAAATCTTCTTTGCTGTTCGACCCAAGAAAAAAAGTTAATATGATGCATATTTGTCAGTCATACATAACTAAAAGAGTTAATAAACAGGTCAGAGGAATTTTCTTGCTGAAGCATATACAGACCTGTATGGCGTGAGGATGTTGAGAGGAGGTGGTTTGTCACAGCGCTGGTACATCTTCATGACAGGGTTGGGGATGGAGTTTCTGGACACCACCTGCTGGTCCTGAATAGTGGAGCTCTTGAACGCTTTCCGCATGTTGATGTCCTGTAAGGACACTGCAGAACGAGCAGACAGACCCGGAAAACACTGTCAAACACTATCACAAACCTGAGACATTGTGTGCCAGATTTACAGATTGCGTCAGCGCAAACCCTCTTTCGGTGTTAAAAACTACTACGTGCAGTGAAGCATTAGTGATGTAAAGGTGTGAACAGTTATTTTTGCGGCTGAACTTATTGCATATGCATTTGTAGGACAAATGAACGAATGTGAGGAGAGTATTTAAATGAATCGTGCTAAGATTTGCAGTAGTCTGTTTACTGGTAATTGCGGCATTATTTAACGCTCAAAAAAGCTAATCTTAACCCATTTTACATCAGTGTTGTTAGTCGATTATACACACCTGATTTGAGACACCGCGCTAATTTGTTTTGATTGTTAGTAAATCACCCGCAGAACTTTACACTCACATCTGCGATTTTAAGGGGTCGTGCTTTCGTGCTAATTTACTTTATTTAGTGAATCTGGTCCTAAATCTCAGAAGCAAGGTTTCTAGTTTAAACCGGTTTTGTTCAGTTTGTCTAAAAGCAAATAACACTTGCATAGAAACACCTTAAATAGTATTTCGCTTGACACCAGAGTGCTAGCTTTACAGACTGCAAAAATTATTGTGGGTTTTTTATTCATCTTTCTGGTGTTCCTTTTTCTTTAGTCCATAGCAAAAAAGATGACGCATATTAAAAAAAACCAACAACTTCAAAATAAGGTCTTTCAAAGAGAATATTCTTGTCTTTATTTATAGTAAGTAAACTAAATAATGACAAAAAAATTATTTTAGTTTTATTTTAAGTAAAAACTCTACTTTCAAATTGTAGCTTTTGTTTACATAAAATATCACATTGACCTTCATATTAAGTAATATTATTGCTTATATCTAATATATATATACATATATATTAGTCTTTATTTTGTTTACTTTTATTTTTTACATTTATGTTTTTGTCTTTGTGAAAAGAATGTTTTTAATTAATATTAAATCAAAATTTAAGATTGGAATTTTTTTGTTTTTTGAGAAAAACTCAAACAAATGAAAGCATTTTAAAGCATTTTTTAAATATAATTTTTTTTCAGTGTAACAACCTGTGGGAAACTTTCTCTTTCTGTTCATATCAGTTAGAGACTCATGGTTCTGATTGTAATTACTCTGCAATTGTAAATGTTAACTGCGCAGTAAGTTTGCATGCATTTTATGCACTGAAGAGAGTCAGACAATTAAGCACATTATGGATGCACATTACATCACACAGCATTTACGTAGGAACTTCCCATAAGGACTTGAAGGCACCGCTCTATTAATTATGTTCCCTTGTCAACGGCCTCTTATTCAACCAGACTATTCCACTGTGCTCTTAAATAACTCAGCTAGTGTCTAGACATCAGTGGGACACGCAGCACTGCGTCTACGCTGCTAATTACTGCAGCTGCCTCATCTATGCCTCATCTGCTCAGCTCTAGTTATTATTCAGACTGCTCTGAAAATCACTTCATGATCATCGTCATATTATATACACAGAAACTTAAAGGTATTCACGGCAAAATAAAAGTTCTGTTGAACTTGAAACTTAAATTGTGACAGAAATATATAACTATTGTACAACAGAATATGCATCTTAATGTAATGTATACAGTTATTATTATTTTTGTAAAGAATAATAAAAAATTTTCCTGCATGTTTTAATTTGAACAGTAAACCTCATAGAATCATAGAGCCCTATTGTTAAATGAATGAATGAATACGTTTGTTTTTATGAATCCAATTAATTAGACGTGCATTTTAATTATTACAATTTAATTAAACCAATAAAATGGAATCCAAAATTTAAACGGAAAACAAAGAATTTTGTAAATATAAAATGTCATTTGAGAAAAAATACAACTTATTTCATAGGGCCCTAAACACTTTACTTTTTGTTACATTTTTTATAAACTGTTGTTAAATTGTATTAGTTTCATAATTTCAATTTATTAGACATGCTTTTTGATCTCTAAAATTTAATTTAACCATTAAAGTCGAGAAATATTAAAATGGAGAAAAAGAAAAAACAGAATCCAGAAAAATTCAGATGGAAAAAAAACTAAATTTGGAAAAAAATAAAATAGAATTTGGGAAAAAATACAACGGATTCCATAGGGTCCTAGACTTGCATTATACTGAGTCTGAGTGCCAGCGCCAATCCTCTCAGCAGCCCTGTGCTTGCATTCTGGTGTATTTCCAGGCTGTGTCACAAAAGATCAGGTCATTTGCTAATGCACACTCATTCTTACGCACCCTCCTCCACTGTGGAGTCCAGTTGTGTGACCTTCACCGCCAGCAGGTCGACGCGCTCTTGTAAACTGTTCATGCGCATGTAGAAGCTGTTGGCCTCGTTAAACAGCTCCCCGAAGACGTCCTCCGCATGTCGACCTGGATCAATAAACATCTACGATTAGACAAAAATTTTCATTTTTCAAATAGCTGTCATGTGCAACGTCATTTTTAATTAGATATGCCATGAAATAGGCTGATTCTTTCTTGTTTTAATGCACACTGAATACATGTTTTAGAAAGTGAGAAATTGCTAGTAAATTTCATATATGTGACCCTGGACCACAAAACCAGTCATAAGGGTCAATTTGTCGAAATTGAGATTTACACATCACCTGAAAGCTGAATACATAAGCTTTCAATTGATGTATGGTTTGTTAGGATAGGACGATATTTGGCCGAGATACTGAGAATCTGAGGGTGCAAAAAAATCAAAATGTTGAGAAAATCGCTTTTAAAGTTGTCCAAATGAAGTCCTTAGCAATGCATATTACTAATCAAAAATTAAGTTTTAATATATTTACGGTAGGAAATGTACAAAATATCTTCATGGAACATGATCTTTACTTAATATCCTAATGATTTTTGGCATAAAAGAAAAATCTATAATTTTCACAGTTTCTATGTTTTTTTGTCTATTGCTACAAATATACCCCAGCGACTTAAGACTGCTTTTGTGCTCCAGGGTCACACACACACACACACACACACACACATAAATAAATAATTACAAAGAAACTGCAAATAACACATTGAATTAATAGGGAACACATTCAGTATTAACTAATGAGTTTTCCCTCAATAAACTCCTAATCTGCTGCTTATTAATAGTTAGTAAGGTAGTTGTTAGTTTAGGTATGGGGTGGATTAAGGGATCTAAAATATGCTCATGCAGAATAAGACATTAATATGTGCTTTATAAGTACAAATAAACAGCCAATATGCTAGTAATACGCATGCTAATAAGCAACTAGTTAATCATGAGAATTGGTCCTTAAAAAAAGTGTAGAAAAACTAAAACAGTGTTTTCTTTTTAAAATGTTTTACAGTGTACTTCCTATTGAAAATTCTTCCAAAAAAGATAAAAAACTCAATACTTGAAATTAATTTGCTGTGTATCCAAAAAAGAATTAATGCCGAGATGCTAGGAATCACCTTTTTTTACAAGGTTTTTACAAAGTGCAAAAAATAAAGCACTCACTTTAAAATCTACAACAAAAGTTTCATTTCACATTCTTTTGAAACTTTGCATCTTAATATACGATTCCTCACATATCAACAAAAACTTCCTATATTGAAAAAATTTCAATATTTTTATCAAAATGATCAGTATGTTGGGGTGGGCTATTAAATTTTTTTAAGCTTTTAAGTTGCAAACATTATTTTGATGAGTTACGGTGACAATAATGTTGATCGTTGCTTAATATTGTGTGTAATTTAAACTCAAATTTCTTCATTTATTCATAAATTAATTAAATTAACACGTTAAAACAACAGCCATAATTATTTGAGTTATAATGAGTTTGTGTGTGTGTGTGTGTGTGTGAGAGAGAGAGGGGGGAACAGTTATGAAGAGTTATCAATGTTACTCACCCTGTGATTTGAGAGAGGCCCATGGAATAACTGGTAACCACATTTAAGTTAAAAAAGCAGTTTTTTGCTGTCCAAAGTGATTTTTGTATGTTGAAGGACTCAACAATCACAGACAAATCTGAAAAATATCACGCATGTGTTTGTGCTTTAGGAGGCTGAGTGTCTGTAAAATGTAGTAATATTTGTTTTAATTCATTGTTGTAGTAACCCCATTAATCATTGGTTCAGAAATCAAATGCCACTCTCTCATTATTAATTCACTTTAACGCACAGTCTTTTACTGAAGCGTAACACAAACAGGCTTGAAATCAACTGAGTCTACAGGATTATCTGTGCAGTTAAAACATGCTGTGCGATAAAGGAAAGAAAACAGTGCAAGGAATGTGTTTGGTCTGCTCTCAATGCTCTATATCATTAGGAGATATAGTTAGTGTTTGCTTTGTCCTTGCAGTAAAAACCATCTGACAGATGTCCTGGAGGTGCAGTTGCAAAAGAATTGTAGAGAGTGTTTCAGAATGCTCTTGCATCACGTCTTCCATTGGAGAGAAAAGAAACCGGATTGTTGTTTTTAGAGACAAATCTCATGAACAACAGAAGCCACACTGGTAATCTTCACAGTTTACAGGTGTTCCTCAATTGCAGGCACCCGCACTTTTAACTTCAGTGAGCAAGGCTTCCCGTTTCATCCGCTTTAGCTGTCCAAAACAGTCCGTTATGCTGCTCCATATTGCAAACTTGTATTTATTGTCATATCATTTGAATTTATTATCGTAGTCATAAACACACTGGTTTGTACAGCAAATAGTTTTACTGTTGACTGCACTTTATTATTAATAGCGGCTAATTAGAGCTGGGCAGATCTAGAACTAGATAGTTCTAGAATCTAGATTACTCATTTTAGGAAATAGATTCTGACTACTTTTTAGATTACTTTTGGATTGCTCCCCCCCAATTAAACATGCCATATTGATATAAAAAAGCAAAGAGATTTTGCTTTAATTTGTTTACCAGGATGTCAATGTGAGCGACATTGAACTGTAAACATGCGAATGCGTTTTTAAATTATTGAAATAAATTTTTTTTTAAATTTATTTACACAACATTTGTGAATATAATCAGAGCTAAGGAAAATTCAAAAGAGAAAAAAGAAGAACTAGAAATAAACAAAACACTATGAATGATTTACTGCCATTGTGTGAATATGTAATCATGTAATCCATAAAAAGGTAACTGTAATCTGATTATGAGCATTACAAAAATGTAATTTACTCTAATTATGAGTACTTGATTTTTGGAATCTTATTATGTAATCCAGATTACATATAATCAGTTACTACCCAGCTCTGCGGCTAATGAACCGGAAGTCTCGCACATTCACAGAAACGGCTTACTTCCGCGTTACGAAATAAGGTAGTGCTTCTGTGGAAACTTTTGTTATATCCTGTTACACAAGCACAATAAATATATATTTTTTTAAACTCACAAACAATCTGTCATATCAAATTTTGGTAGTCATTAAAGGGATGGGAAGTCTGGCAGCCTCATATTGGAAATATGTAGATGTATGCTAGGTCAAGATGGTCAACTAGTGAATTAATCGACCAGTCAACACTCTAAAAAATACTGGGTTGTTTCAACCCAACATTGGGTCAAATATGGACTAACCCAACTTTTGGGTTAAAAATGAAATGTAAAAATTTAAACCAACGGTTGGGTTAGTCCATATTTGACCCAAAGTTGGGTTGAAACAACCCAGCATTTTTTAGAGTGAATTAATGATCAGCATGATTATGCTGTAACTGTGTCAATATTATCGGATGTCCTGGGCCTTCTTCTGTGGCACGTCTTCATGATATTTACATCGTAGATAGCGAGCAAAGGCTTGTCGATACGTCTCGTTGAAAAGGGTGTAGATCAGAGGATTCACTCCAGAGGAGATATATCCCACCCAGACAAAAAAGTGAATGAGGTTATAGAGATGCTCGCTGCAGCTGTCCTGACAGATGGCGATCAGCACATTGGTGATGAAGAATGGACACCACATGACCAGGAAGAGAAAGAAGACAATCCCCAAGACTTTGGAGGCTCGTCGCTCATTGTTCAAAGCTTGAATCATGCCTCGTCTGCCTTGGCCTCGTGGACCTTGTGCAGACTTGTTGGAGGAGGACTTACTGTTCAGCAAACTTGTGTCACTTATCTCAGCAGAATGTTTGGAGTGGCTCCTGCTCTCTTGTGGGAAAGCAGTGCTGTGCCTCTGGAGATCACGGAGAGTGAGGTAATAGCAGACCACCATGATGACCAGAGGACCGAAGAAGGCCACGGATGAGCCAACAAGGACGAAACGAGGCTCATTCAGGGTGCAAGTGCTATTTACAAACACCTTCTTCTTGTCCTGGAAACCCATTACTGGAATGGGCAGCGACAGCACTGGAAG